GGCCAGGGAAAAGGAGAGACTAAGAGAGGAAGCAAGAAAGGTAAATCTTTCAATTTCTTTTAAGCCTGTTACAAGTAAGTGGAAAATTAAGTTTTTGCACAAATGTAATTTAACAAGGTTGTAAATGAGATATATTCTCCCGGATCAGTTGTGATGGTAAGTTACAGTAAACGTGTTGCCCAAAGCTGCTTTAGTCTACCCATCTGGGTACCAACTAATAACTTTGAAGGTCTGGTATCCCATTCAGGGAGAATGTGAAAGCTTTCTCATCCATTTGTACCACAGAAGCTATGTGACCTTAAAATGTAGGTACACTTTTTCTTCTAGCAAACAGACTGTTGGTGTGAACGTGCTTTGTAGTCTAAATGAGAAAAACCTATACACAGGATAGGTGAAGTGAAGAAAAAGTGTCATTGGTCACTATTCAGTTCCTTACATTATATAGCAACACAATAGCAGATATAATACTTAGACTTCAAAATGAAACAATTTTCGGAATACTAAGTTTATTTATTGTTCTTCTAACATTCCATTTTTTGGGCATCTTGACCCAAAAGGGTAGTTACGGGGCTGTTTTAGAGGGGGTTGTGAGATCAGAAAAAGTGTTAAATTTTTTTAAAAACGTGTAAATTTATAGCTCTTTCATTCTTCTCTAATCAATCTACGTTAATAACCCTGGTAATCTTATGTAAGCTTTACTTTTTTAATTACAGCAAAGGCGTTTAGAGAGTGGATTCCGAAGCATGCTCAAGAATGCTGTTCCTCCAGTAGACAGCAGTTCAGAATGGGAAAAGGTAAGATAATTTTTTTATTAGACGGTACCTTAGCTCGGCCTTTATATGGATAACAGTTCTTCCTCTGATTAAACCTAGGGGTCAGAGGTCATGTCACCACATTTGTAGACTTATGTTCAAAATTTTATTTAACTATTTTATAAAGGAATGTCAATAAGTTTGGCATTAAATTGTAGATTATAATTAAAATTTTAGTATTAAAAAATGAATGTAAATATTGATTTTTTTGTATGTGACATGATACTTCGCCTTCTAGGGTTGGTCAGATTACATTTTATGACAATACATTGTACTTCCTACCTCTCACCCTAAGCCTCGTTCAAATTCATGTGTGGCGATGGAAAAATACATTATAAATTACAATACCAATACCCCCAAAATCCACTGTAACTTACTGGGCTTGTTTAAAAAAATCTTCTGTTCAGTAAATAGTCTTGATTGTAATATTTCAAACTTTTCAATCACATAAGAACTTTTCTCTCATAACTAATGTAGAAAGAGTGACAGAAATGTAGGTATTGGTATGCAAAGTAGGTGTAGATAAAAAAATCTTCTGTTCAGTAAATAGTCTTGATTGTAATACTTCAAACTTTTCAATCACATAAGGACTTTTCTCTCATAAGTAATGTAGAGCTTTTGATTGGTTTTAAGGTATTGGTATGCAAAGTAGGTGTAAATAAACAAGTCTTCTCAAATGATGAAGTGGTGGGCAGAGCCAATATGGTGGATTCTTTAAATATCATATCTCAGCAAATAGAACAAAAAAAAAGGTAGGAGGTTCTTATTTTATATTCTAGCTGGCTAATATAGGAAATTTGAGTTTCTTATTCATGAGTGCAAACAAGGACTTCGTAGTATCGTAAAGTGTAGAGATCATTCTTTTCCAAATATTTTGATTTGCTGCTCTGTGTTTTCAGAAAAATAACTGACATTTAAGTATTTATGTGAAAATAATAATATATATACATGTGTAACGTATGGTAACTAAAATGTTACTGTATTTTACAAAATACTGGTACACTGGTACTAAGAGTACGAGATTTTTACTGTGTTTTATTATAGGTGAGTATAATCGTTTATTGAACCTGTGTTATTTTTTTACTCATTCACACCAAGGTAGAATAAAAACAAAGACAGACAGTACTGTTTATTTTGTTTTGTCTAGTTTCTAAGTCAGAAAATAAGTGTGAAAAGGTGAGTAGTATAAACTGTGAACATAAGTTCTTTGTGATCAATACCGTATATTTTATTTTGCACTTTGATTACTTGTCTTACAACCTCGAGAATCAAGTATAATGTTACAGTAGAGAAGATAAAACTGTACTGAAGAAAGTGTTTGATTTTTAATTTGTTTTCTTTATTTATTATTATAAAAGTAACTAAAATGTAAAAAAAAAATGGTAAGATAATGTAAAAATCTTCGTTGGGATACTAGCGAGCAGCTTTGATACGGTGATGTGAGGCTGTACGTGCACCGTGTAATCTTCAATTGGGGTATTTCTAATCAGACATAGTTCAAAGGTCAATAAAACAAAGTATAAACAGATGTATATTGTTACTAAAATCAAACTATTCTGGTTTCTTATTACAACTTGCAGTCACTCTAGAACAAAAGAAAGGGTAATTTTGATTTATTTCTTAATTTTACATGATGACCAATTCTTGTAAAGTAAGGTACCAAATTAATTATAATTTGTAGTCATGATGGGCTTCTCTGTGCATATTTTGCTTTTCACTAGTGTCATTAGAAGATAAACAATACACATTTTCACCATCATGTTGAATTATCAAGCATATTTACTGGGTGATGTTATATTAGCTTGGAAAACTTTGTTAGTTAACAATTTTGATTCCTTGTCAAATACATTAATATTAATGTTTTACAGTTTATGATAGTCGGTGGCTCATGATGAGATCCTCTAAAGGTTCTTACAGCAGTAACCTTCTGTTCACAGGTTCGGAAACAATTTGAGAAAGAACACGCTTTTGAAAACATAACCTTGGAATCTGAAAGAATAAGACTCTTCAAGGAATACCAACAAATCTTAGAGGTGAGTGCTCTTAGTAACCAGCAAATCTAAGAGGTGAGTGTTGTTAGTAACCAGCAAATCTAAGAGATGAGTGTTCTTAGTAACCAGCAAATCTAAGAGGTGATTGTTCTTAGTAACCAGCAAATCTAAGAGGTGAGTGTTCTTAGTAACCAGCAAATCTAAGAGGTTAGTGTTCTTAGTAACCAGCAAATCTAAGAGGTGAGTGTTTTTAGTAACCAGCAAATCTAAGAGGTGAGTGTTCTTCATAACCAGCCAATTCATAGAAGTAGGTGTTCTACATAACCAGCCAAATCATAGAAGTAGGTGTTCTACATAACAAGCCAAATCATAGAAGTAGGTGTTCTACATAACCAGCCAAATCATAGAAGTAGGTGTTCTACATAACCAGCC